GTTTTTAATATTCTGTTGTACAAAATGGTTAGTAAAGTATATTTACACTCCCCATTTTGTTGTTACTTCTTGTTTCATACAGCAATTCTAGCGACTTGATCACTGAGCTTTGCAGCTCTATGCCACAGGCAGACGTTTTGTCGTCGAGTGAATAATGCGCATGCGCAGTTTTTCTTGGGGAAACAACCTACCTACGCCTGCTTATGCAGCAGGTTCTCGGTTAGAAAGCGTAACGGTCGTACATACAAACAATCAGAATAATAGTATAGATATTTAATTTTAGCCTTAATATGTGTTCTACGTTTATCTATCCACCACTAGATGGCGAGACAATTCTGCATATTACACTTTATTTAAGGCTGGTGTAAGATCTGGGAAAATTAGATGGAATGGTTTACCTCTTCCTCCCTATTGTTTAAAGATTTATTTCTTGAACATTTAAAAAATATGCACTCTTCGAGCTGGATTAGGTTAGAAACAATAGAATTGAAAAAAATGTGTTTAAATGTTTTTTTATAAGAGTATTTAATTAAACAGTGCTTCTCGTTGAGAAAAAATATAGGTGCTATTGGTCGTAAAGTGGTGGGATCATTGGTAATAAAGTTAACTATTCGAAAATAGAAAGTCTTCATCACACCAAATTCTTCATAGTGTAACATCAGAAATATAAAGAAGATGTACTTTATTATAGCTGGACTACTGAGTGAAAGTAAAGGAATGATATGTAGTCATTTATCAAAGATCATTAAAGGAGAATCTGATTATAGCAATTAATTAGTTTGTTTTAGGGTGGCAAATGGAGATCTGAAATTTTGAAATCATTTCTGGCTTGTCACAAAGATCTTCGCTGAGTCCTGTCATATTCAACATATACATAACTGATCTAGCCAACGGAATGAAAGCTTCGGAGTGACACCGTGTACAAATGTTGACGACGTTATTGTTGAAAGCATCTCATACACGCCAATGACAGAGGTGGAAATTATGGAAGAAACCAGCAAAAGACTCTGCTAGTGGACTATATGTAATAAAATGTCCATTAAACCACAGAAAACCTGTTGTTTGTTGCCAACTAAATATCACACAGACACCTCTTTCTATTCACGATGACATACACAGTTAGAAAAGTTTCACATAAAGCCTGTGTCACTTTTCTGTGTATTGTGATGGACTACAGGGAGAAACGAGTTAAGAGTTTTACTCTTCTTAAATAAGCAACAGGGTGGGGAGGGAAAGGTTAAGATTGATCAACTCAACCTTATTAGACACTGATCATAGCAGCATTTGGCTCGGCCAAAAAAAGTTGTGACTGCATGGATAGGAGCCGTATAAGAAGAGATAGATATGTAATATTCGAATGGTCAGCAGTCAAAACTAGACGATCCAGCTCATCCAGAGCAGACGGTGAAACATACAAGGATGCACTTCTTTGTTTGACCAGTAAGACTGAAGATCAGGACAGGATCGTACTCCTATAGGAGTATCTAAACTGACTGGACATACGTTTTTGTCCAAAGAACATTTGATAGATTTGAAGGCTCATCTGATAACGACTATGTATCAAGACACAGTAGCAAATCATTTATAGACAGAGCAAATATATTAGCTTGAAAGGTACAGACCTTATGTAAACTAATAACATGCAGACCGAAGAAACAGGTAAAGATGGACACTGGTTAACTGGAATACTGGAAGAAAGAAGGTTGAATTGTGAAAGTGGAATGAGCGTAGAAGTATGTGGAAAGGAGAGATACTAGTCAAATCAAATTGAACTGAGCATTACTACAAAAAGAACTTTAAGGACAACATTATTCGAGATAGAAGAGCCTGTGCCAAGGCCAGTGCAAAACTCTTTTAAGGGTATAACGGTACTAGTTGTAATAGCTTTAACATCATCTTATTTACCTTGAGCTACTGGCGTCTAAAATAAAAGTAATAATTAAATAATAATGTTGCACAAGAATGTATAATAATAAAGTAAAAGCTTTGCTGTCAGGAGCTACCTCCTAATTAATGGTCGGTGGTTCAGAATTAGAGACGGTGCAACATTATCTGGCTGCACACTGAAAAACGTCTTTCGACAGGACTTTACAACTGAGGCTAGAGAGCTTGTGTTTCGGCCGGTGCTAAATTCTTCTATCATGAAAATAGATAAATTAATAAATAAAATTTATCTAGGTTTGTTTGTTTGTAATTAAGCATGTTTGCGGACTTACAACGCTAGAATCCGGGTTTCGATACCCGTGGTGGGCAGAGCACAGATAGCCCATTGTGTAGCTTTGTACCGCTGTGCCACCGGGAGGGGCTCCTGAGACAGGAACTTGTGAACTGTTCATTTACGGTGGTTTTGGAGGGAACAAAAATAATTTCAAGACGGAAGAAGAACGCTTAGATACTTGTAAAAGTAATAAGCAATCATCATGCACTTTCATCTCTTAGCTTGAACACGTTAGGAAACAAACAAGTAGATCTCAAGTAAAGAGAAGCATTTCATATCACATGCCTGATCATAAGATGTAGTTTGTTATTTCCAAATGAAACGTCTTAGAAGACATTTTAGTAAAGGTTGAATGGAACCGTTCTTTTAGCTTCATTTTAATACTGAGCATTGAGCTCTGGGGAAAAACAACAAAACAAAACATGAGCGTATGTTCTTTCGGAGCCAAATTTAAATTTCTAACATAAGCAGTGACAACTTTTAGATGCAAATATTGAGTGAATCTTTATAAGCAGACATTAATACTGAGTTGCTAAACATTTTTTCGGTTTCTAAGCCGTTTTTGAGTACCACCGAACTATTCTGTTTTTCAAAGTTATTTATAAACTTAAAATCATAACTTTTTGAAGAGAGGTTGAGATGCTGACTGATTAATATTCAATATCTGTTTCAATTACTTGTTTTGTTTTTGTATATCTAAAGATCTAGAATCAGTAGCAAATCATAACACTTTGATATAAGCACCAGTCATCATCCCAGTCTTTCACATAATGCTGTAAATAATCCACTGCCCTGGACTTCAAATAAGCTTTTGTACGTGCAGAAATCCCACAATTTCTCTATCTCAGGTAGCCTTGTTCACAGCGAGAACAAACGAAATGACAAACAGCACAAGAGAACTGTATTTATAAAATGGAAAAAAACTATTGATTCATGCGAACTGGTGGATTAAATACACGTTTAAAGGTTTGTTTGTTTGTTAAATTTCGTACAAAGGTACTATCTGCGCTAGCCGTCCCTAATCTTGAAGTAATAGACTACAAAGAAGGCAGCTAATCAACACCACCCACCGCCAATTCTTGAGCTACTTTAAATGTTTATTTTACTGCTTCTTTACCTACTTACAGTTTCTACCTATCCAAAGCAACATTATAGCAGTCAGGGAAATTCAATTTCCTAAAAAATCCAGTCAGTTTTAGGTAAATTTGTTAAAGATCCGTCGCTTATAGGATATTCTATAATTTTGCCCTAAAGCTTTTTAATATATGTCACACCTGAATAAGTTTTCTAAAATTCCTCTTAATACTTTTGCCCAGATGGCCTATTGTGTAGTTTTGTGCGTAACAACAAATAAGCATATTTTATCATTTCCAAAATAACCCTATAAACGTTGTCTGTGGGTCGCGGGTTCGAAATCCGTCACTCGCGTTATAATGTGCGATTAATCCCACTTTTTTTTTTTTATACTTTTTATTCAAAATATTCTCTAGAACAGGTTCATAATTACAGTGAATTATACTATAATAAATAGCTTTATTACCATTTATAGGAAAATTAACTATCCTCTTCAGAAATATCTTTTTTTGATGTGATATTACAAGCAACCTATGAATTTCTCATTATTATTATTACTATTCTTTATCTACTAAACATGATACGACATGGGTTTGTTTGTTTGTTTTTTTTTAATTTCGCGCAAAGCTACACGAGAGCTATCTGCGCTAGCCGTCCCTAATTTAGAAGTGTAAGACCAGAGGGAAGGCAGCTGGTTATCACCACCCACCGCCAACTCTTGGGATACTCTTTTACCAACGAATAATGGGATTGACCGTACATTTAACGCTCCCGCGACCCACAGATTGCGAGTCAAGCGCTCCAACCACTTGGCCATGACGAACATGGGTGTGTACCCCTTGTTTTCTTATTACATTTATCTTTACTCTCACTCTTTATTTTGGAGAAAATATGTTTTTCTACTAAGTCCTTTTGATATCAAATACGTTTTAAGATATTATTACACACCCAAAAATAATACTTTGTAAAGAAGGCGTTAATTAATCATAATTTGCTATTGGCAACAGCCAAACAACCACCCTAAGTTACGCCATCGTATGGATTTAGTTTCTAATTTCACATTTCTCTATTGGACTTTAAACAGTTAAAATTTGTAACAAACCTACCAAAGAATGAGACAGTATCCCATATCCTTCAACATTCCTATTAGTGAAGCTAGTTGATTAAAAAATATTATTTTCAAAATGTTTTTTGCATTTAAAGTTTGTTTTTTACTTATCCTTTATTTTTTTACCATTTTTGTGAAGGTTCCATCGTTTCTTTTTGGTGATTTTTGCGAATGTCTCATTAGAACTCTGGTGAAATATAAACAATTCTAAGTATCTAAAAATACAATCTATCGAAAAGAGCATACAGTTTCAACAACTTCATTTTCAGCCTCCAAGATTCACAAGAGCTCAAGGCAGTCTAACAATTGTGACTTGGAACCAGAAACAGGACCATGTGGAGCTTACATCCCCAGATTTTATTTCAATAAAGAAACGGAAACATGCGAACAGTTTATCTACGGTGGATGCGGCGGAAACAGAAACAACTTTGAAACTATAGAGGAATGTCATGAAGTCTGTAAAGGTAAGCATTTTATCAACAACTACATCTAAATGTAAGGATGTATTCTAACGATACACCTCATCCAAATTTACAGTAAACTGTAACTGATTTATCATAAGTGTCATATCCCCCATACAAGCTGCCATGTTGCATTTTTTCAATCTCAACGGTCGTTCGGGCTATTAAGTGTGTTCAATCAACGCTGAAACAACACAGAAAGTCAACGATCACAAACGTTGATTTTGCAAGAACAGGACGCGTTAACGAAAAATTTCAACGTTTAATTTTGGAATGAGCCCTTCCTTTGGTTTGCTTATCCAAGTTGTGCTGATGAGTTTTGAATAGGCGAAACTGCAGTCCACAGCCAATCAAATTTTATATTAAAGCTCCTACGTCGCAGAATATATTTTCAGTTTTACCTTTGGTAAAGTGATATAAATCTGTAAGATCAACATATACTTGTGTTTTTCAATTTTTGTAAAATTAGAAAGAGTAAATATCTCTTTAGTTTTAAGTCTATCGTCCTCACTTATCACAAGATAAGAGATTTTATTTTCTATGTTTCTAATACAAATTGGTTAAACTATATATGTAGATAAATATATCATCACAAATAGTTCTTCGGTTTTCAAAGTATTGTAAAAATTATCGATAATTTTTAGCAATTGTTGAAATCCAAAGAAAAATAAAATATACCAAGACGCTTTTTTTTTTAATGATAAGAAAAAGTTATAAAAAAAATGTGAATTTTTCGAACAAATTATTTAATGTTTGAAAACAATAGAACCTAAATTTTGTATTATTAAAAATATTTTATAGATAAATGCATGTACAGTGGAAGAATGTCTAGAATCATCCAAAGATATTTAAACTCAAACGGGGCTTTTAAATTATATGAACATCTCAATAATCTAATTATTGAATCCAATGCGTGTTTGTATAACAATCAAGACTGCCACATTTTCATTGTATATTTGCGCTAACCATCCTTAATTTAAAAGTAATAACCTAGAGGGAAAGCAGCTAGTCGAAATCACTTACCACCAACTTTCGAGCTACTCTTTACCAACGAAAAGTGAGACTGACCGTCAGATTGTAACGTACTCAGAGCAGAAAGCAAACATGTTAAGTGACTGGATACAAACCTAAAACCCGCAGGTTTCGTGTTGAATGCCCTATCCACCAGACTATGCTAGCCCCGAAATTTCAATTAAACATAGAATTTTCATGATATGTTTCCTAATACTCAAAAGAGATGCTGATATTTAATATAAACATAGTAAAAATTCAATACCTTATGCTATTTGTATGTTCTTATCAGTATTATTATTAATTTATTTGCACGCATGCAACTTAATAAAATCATTACGCTTTTGTAGAAAACCTAACACACAGGCAAATTATTGTTTGAATATCACAGCTTCATTTATTTTTCTATTTTGTCCAGATAAAATATGCTTGAATATGTACTAAAGTTATATATATATATATATAAACTTGGAAAATATATTTATTTGTAAGATTCTAATTGATAATAAAATTATTAAACTTCAAAACAAAATAACTAAAATATGTCTCTTAGGTTTTCTTTAACTCAGCCCACTAACCTTAAGTTTATATCACAATTTGTTGCTAGTCTGTGTTTTGTTTTGTTATTTTTGTCTTGTATTTAGTAGTATTATTTCAGTAGTCCAAACAATTACCCATTATTTAGTGGAAAGAGATGCCAGGAAATTTGCTCAGTTTTTAATCTACCAAATTTACGTTTTATTAAATTTTAGTAAAAATTACTCAACTGATCGTCCAATTATCTATTAATTAACTTGTACTATTGTTCCCTTTACTTTTAATTTTTCACATCTTTAGTATAAAAAGTTAAGTAACACTATTTTTTTTTCTTTTCGAAGGAGCATAATTTTGCAAACTTCACCAACAAGATGGACAGAAAAGGGGAGAGATTTCTAAACACAAGACGTTTAAACCTTTGATTTTAAAGTTGTGGATACATTTTCTAGAGAGTAAAATAGTCAAGACACCAAAACCAAAATTTACTACCATGATTTGTTTTTTATAAAGGTATCGGTGATAATAAAATCTTTCTCAAAGAATACAATTATTTTCTTACGTGATGTTACAATACCAGCTTTGAATTGACCTTGATGAGCGTGTCTAACCCTATTTCTATTTGTTGCCGAAATAAAATGAAATGAAAAGTAGGAAAACATCGTTAAAATTTCATTATTATTAATCTGGATTGTTTTCTTTAATATTTCTGCTTGTTAAGATAATGGATAAAAATATTTTTTTCATATTTATTCATTTTTTTTATTGGAAAACTTGTAATGGAACTATGAGGCGACTGTCCTAATTTATCATAGAATAATTAAAGCCACTGAAATAATAAAAATGTCCTAAGTTGTTTTGGAATGGTCTTATTTCACCTTCAGAAACTAAAGCAATGGGGAAAATGTAAATTAAATTGTTATAAATACATATTAATTACCCTCACTCAGCTAACAATTGCAACAGGAAAATATAAGTAAAATTACGCTAGAGCAGCGTTTGCCTAGGGGTTGTGTAGCTTTTTTGGGTGGACCGCCAAAAATAGGAAAATAAAGATGCTGAAATACTTTTAATTATAGATAAACAATAACCACTGCGCTAGAGTAGAATATAAAAATAACAAATACAATTAAATAAAACTCAAAGTTCTTCAAAATACATTTAAGAAGAAAAATGTAATTAACTTTAGAAATCTAAGGGTCTTCCGTCCACATTTAATCCGACGAATAGCCCAAAAAACTGAAAAGGGTTGGGTATAATAATGGCTGGAGACGGCTTAAATTTATTATAGTACAGTCACATCGAGCTATCTGTGCAAGAACTCAGCTAACAGATGTTTCCGCATGTAAAAGCTATCTTCAAGTAAAATTTTCTTTGAAAACTCCAGAAATCGAAGAACCTCTTTGAAATAAATCTATGTTGTTTCTTAAATAACATTAACAACGCCAGAAAAACTTTTTCACCACTGTCAAAATAAAGCCATAAATTCGAGTATTATTAGATTTATAGGAGGAAATATTGAGTCACGTGGAATAGGGGTGGGGATTGCCCTTACCTACAGATATCCCTTTCTAATAAGTTTCACAAGCAACAACTTACCTGTGCTCTCCAAGTGTAGAAAACATGCTAACTCTACTCACCGAACGATTCATTCTCCTATGTCAAGCACTGGCTAGCTGGCGAAATTACGTACATTATTAACGTATCTGCCTGACATACTCTTCCTTTAGTTGAATCAACCAGATATAAATAAAATCATTCAAATAACAAAATTTTTGGAACTGTTTGGAAATGACATCATGGGTTGCATCCTTTCAGAATTTACTCTACTGCCACAACACACAAGCTATGTCAGTTGAGTCTGGATACTATTGTTACGTCTCCGTTTGTTAATTAACTTTCCGTAACTTCGTTCCAACGAAACTTTAGCGACACGAGTCCTTACTTAATAAAAACTGGTTTATTCTTTCCGAATACAACTTTACGATACACTTATTTTCAACAATCACGCTAAAACAAACGCTATATCAACGAACGTCAATAATACTTCTGACTGCAGTTCAATTACTCACTATCTACACATACACATTACATTATTCCCCGTCACGTTGTCACCCTCTTTTATATACCAGACTACCCTATATCTAGTAAATAGTAGAGCATTCGCCAAGGTACGGGATAGTTCTAGAAACGTGGCGTCACACTAGTCATGTGACTCGCTGACGCAACACTATTATTACTTATAACAAATTAGTAATTAAATATTACTCACAAATAAGTATTCTATGTTGGGATTTAACTGATTAAAGAATAAATAGTAAATATTAATTACTGATTGGTTTTGATAAGTTACAGATTAATTTTAAAAAACAATCCTTTCGTATATAGATTCCAGAAGGATAACATCACTAAAAATGGTCACAGAATAGTGGGGTTGAATGAGTGCTAGTAAAAAAAAAAAAATGCTAGTATTCTTTAAAATATGAATAGCCCAAAGTAAGCGATTAATATTCACACAAACTTTGTTTGCCAGAAAACATCCAATAAGGCTATGCCAACTGGAGACTGCCATCTTATTTTTCTAAGGGTTGAATAAGTGTACAACAAAGAACTTGTGTGAAAAATGTTATGGTTCCTAGCAATAATTTCTAATGGTTTTTTTGATAAATACAGGAAATTCTACCCATGTATGCATATTTAATATACATATCTAGATACATTTATCAGAATACCATCTCTTCTGACATCATAAAATATGTATTCCTACAGTTATATGGACTGATCATATAAACAAATTTCCTCGTTAATGATGTATACTTATCGCATGTAAAATGTTTAAGGCTTAAAAATCAATCAGCCAACCTTTTTGAAAAAAACACTTACGGATGTTTCTGAGAACCTACTAAAGTCAATTTTTCTTTGAAAGGAAAATTTGGTTATTTTATTTGTAAGTTATAGAGCTATCTTGAATTTCCAGCGTAAAATTCTACTTTGCTTTTTCAAGTAGTTTTATGTCATTTGCCTCAAAAGGGACTTCTTTCTTAAATTAAACTAATGCAAGAGAGTAATGCTTTAAATAATCTATCACAGTGATAGTACGATATAATACAGCACTGGTAATCATTATGGAAATTCGTAGGTGATATACATACAGAAGTAATAGGCAATAGTAACTGTAACTAAACATGAACAAATAAGTTGTACAAATCATTAGTATTTTCTCTAAACAGAGCAGTATACCATATTTTAATGCCAAAGTGAAATATTGTTCTAGATGCCATACACTCCGCAAGTCATCCAAGTTGTTTGGTTGCCATTTGACTTTCTCAGTTTAGATAATCCATTACAGGCCAAGCCATGGTTGTCAATGTTCCATTGGCTTCTTTTTCCTTCCAAGTATAGCTTCACCACATTTACTGTATGTTGGGGTTCACTATCTTGTTGGAATATGATTCCCTGCTTCAAGGGAATGATAAGATGGATAAGAATGTACTTAAACTTGTCAGCAGTCACTTGGATTGATCTCGTACCATACTTCACTGTATATATAACACTGACCATGATACCCTTCTACTCTCTGCCACTGAACAAACTATTGTTTATTGTTGCCAAATAACTTGAATTTGGATTAATCTGTTAAGAGCACTTTCTCCTTCTTTGCTCATAACATTGTTTCAAAGTTTGATGCCAATTTCAACATTCAGGTTTGGTTATCTCTCCTAAGTAGTAGTTTTATAGCAGCTACATATTTATTGAGGCCACACCATGCTAAATCTCACTGTTCTGGAGGTAACATTCTTACCTGAACTTACATTACAGCTAGATCATTAGCAAGATCTCTATTGGACTGCTTCTGTTATCAACAGTACTAGTTTTAAGCATCCTCCTCAGAATTTCCATACAGCTCCTACTATATCATGAAATTTGCCTCAATTTGTTTTATGGAGACGCCTTCATCAGCCAAAGATTTTACCTTTTATACTACACCACTTCTGGGAGTAGTACGACTCCCTGTACTTTTATTGGTATTATGCTGGTTTGGCATTGTCTGATTGGTTGTATGACATTGTAAGCATTCAACATCTTACTATATTCTGATGCAGTTAATTTTGCACACAATAGAGGAAGCAATCCCATAATATTTGCATTTTATAGCCATTATGTTCTACTTCCATTACTATATATATATATATATATATATATATATATAT